AAGACAAGGCAGCTTATTATATTTTAAACCAAAGCCAAAGATAAAGTTAATTAGGCAGATGGCAGAGAAAATATGAGAAAGAGGTACAAAGAAAACAGAACGATGTGTGGCATTGATGGCATTGATGTGTGGTTAGAGGTGTCTGAAGGTCCTAAGTGCTTGTGATGAACACAAGAGTGGAAGCGAGGGAAGCGAGTCGGCATTTTGGAATTCAACTCTTCAGTTTATCAGTGCTACTGATCAAACATGTTTGTATGTAAGGACCTTGAGAACTAACTCCATGCCCCATGTTAGAAATGGGTAAATATATTCTGCCTGAGGCCACTGTTTGCCCAGCTTTGTCTCTCTGCTTTCAGGGCCCGGGATGCCCAAGGAACTGAGAGGAGATGCCCAAGGGTGTGTAGGAGAGAGGGAACGCACCTCCCGTCCAGCCAGTAAAAATGCTAAAGACAAAAGCAACAGCGCCGCCCTTTTGGCCTCTAGAGCAAGAGCACACACCGAACAGAAAAAAAATGGACGTGATTCGCGCTTCTCGGAGAAAGACTCTGGTTACTCGGGTGAGTATCGATTGACAGTCCTACTGTTATATTCACCAACTAAGAAACTCAGTTCACACTATTTTTACTATTATGACAAACAATACAGTTTGCTCAAAAGTGTATTAAGAACACGGTAGTCGAATTTTTACCACAACACTGACACTAGTTCATTGAAGTCTGCAAAGTTAAATGAAGATTTGCTTGCTGTCAGGATGAACCTTTATGCAAAATGGATATACTTGCGTGAATTTGTAACATTTACAGGCACAACCGTAAGATGTAGCTAAGTTGTACCCTGAGCAAAATGTGTCTTAAACACAATAAACAACACACGCATCTGACAGTAGGGCAAGCCATGTAGATTTATGATTTCGTTTCAAGCGCTTAATATAAAACAGGCAACTTGGATCATGCATTTTTCTGGCAGCTTCGCTATTCCTTTGTTATTTTTTCAGATGTGTTTGCAACATCAAAATATACTGATATAAACATTATTGTTCCATCGTAGGCGGGAAACTGAGTTTAAAATTACGTTCCACACACACAGAAGTTCAGCACACGTAGTGGTTAAAACAGCACTGGGTTCATTCGGTACATGTGTACCAAACTGAAAGACCCGTACAGAAATATTTTAGTAGGAACATGTGTACCATTACACCCCTAACACACACACTGCAAGTTTTGTGATCATTTCTACACCCTCGTATTGTTTCTTTATGACTCACTTTCTTCTGTAGAACATAAAAGGATATTTTTCATGCTACATTTTTATACAAAGAAAGTCATATTAAGTGTTTGCAACATCAGTGTTACAAAGTAGGAAAGTCATATTTGCTCCTAATATAGCTTTGCACCCAATCAGAAACAAAAGCTTCAATGAGGTCAAGCACTGATGTTGCGTGAAGGGCCCTAGTTCAAAGTCATCGTTCCAGTTAATCTCAGAGGTGTTCATTAGGTCACAGCATATTCAGAAAACACTTTTTCTGATTGCATTTTATGACAGTGCCAGGTTGAACTGAGTCTTTTGATATGCCTTATTCAACTGTTTGTATAAGGATATTTATTGGCAGTATGCTTGATTTTATGCACATGCAGCTGAAAGTGTCAAACGTCTTCATTAGAAGTGTAGTTCTGACCATAAAGTGTAGTTTTATGAGGCTTAAGTAACATCCGTGCCAAAACTTCAAGGTTCCGACATTGAATGGTCCTTGATTTGACTTGTCATTACCGAGACTGCCATCCCTCTCGGTTTTGTATTTCTCTTTCTATGTTTCCCATCCTTCCTCTTGCCTTTTCCTTCCCTTTTTTTCTGTTACATCCAATGTCCTTTCTCCTCCTACTGCTCTGTTTCTTTCTCAGACACTGGCTCAGACTCCTTGCAGACTGATGCAGATGACCAGCAGAGCAGTGTGAATGAGCCTCAGGTCCGCAGGGGTTTGGGTGGGGCAGATCAAGGCCCCCTACATGGAAGCCACATACTGGTGTCCGAGACGCCTGAACTCACCCCCATATTCATCATTAAGAATGTGGTGTTGAAGCAGGTGAGGCAATCCAGGTGGAAACAGTAAGAGGCTCTGCTCCAAAACACTTACAAGTCACTTACAAGGTTCCTTTTTTATTGTATTAAGAAAGTAGACAAGGCAGCTTATTATATTTTAAACCAAAGCCAAAGATAAAGTTAATTAGGCAGATGGCAGAGAAAATATGAGAAAGAGGTACAAAGAAAACAGAACGATGTGTGGCATTGATGTGAACGATGTGTGGTTAGAGGTGTCTGAAGGTCCTAAGTGCTTGTGATGAAGATAAGAGTGGAAGCGAGTCACATAGACAACAACACATCCTATAAAATAAGATATTACTGTTAAATATGCTACAAAAGGAACATAATTTACTTGTGGTTTCTTGATGTAAAACTGCTCTATACAAGAAGGAATTCTGTCTCTTCCCCCTCATTTTCTTTCTCCCAAGCCTGGGCAGTCTGGTCAGGACCACATCCTTCCTTCAGCTCTGTCATGGGATGGAGGTGCTACAAGCAGTCAGGCTCCCACCCATGTTCTCTTGCTACATCAACCTGGCATCAATCAAAGCGCCCCATTGCACATCCTCAAACCCCAGCCACAGAGATCCGAAAGCAAGGGTGTAAAGAAGAGCAAAAACACTTACCTCCCCATCCTAAACTCCTACCCTCGAATAGCACCTCACCCGAGTAAGAAAACCCCAGAGAAACCTGCGGCCAGTAGAGGAAGTAACACAGAGGAGCACAGCCTGAGTAAGAGAGTATGCACAGAGGAGAAGAGAGATGAGGTGTCCACAACCACGCGAGCGACCAAGCAGCATCTGCACAAACAGCCAGAGAACAACTTGCTGTTACACTCTCAATCCCTCTCACAGTTGCTGTTTGCTGGCCATGAGACGCTTTCTGGCTCTCACCAGCACCAGAGCCCATGCCGCCCATCTAGTCCCACTTCCTCCCTCAACGTGAGCTCTCCGTCAATCTCAAGCACACAGACTCTTTCCCCACCCTCTTCCAACGACCTCATCCAGCCCAGAAAAGGGCCCCATAAGCATTGCCCAGAACCGAATAGTGACTCTGGCAAAGAGTCGAACAACCTCAAAGGGACAGCACGGCACCGTCGCTTCCTCAACACAGTGGAGATTCTGAGCCAGTTGGGACTACTGGACATCACCTTAAGGACGCAGGATCTGCTGCGGCAAAATGCTGCAACCGAACGTGACATAGCCCAGCTACGCCAACATGCCCATCTGCTTTTCCAGGCCGCCCAAGCAGGTGCTGATGCTCCAGCTGCCTGGGAGAAGCTCCAACAGGTCATGGCTGAGTCTGGGCACTATCCCAGCCTCAAGTGCCTACCTACAGACAGCAGCAATGGAGGGTCTCAATCAAAGGTGGAAGTCGAGGCAGCCACCAGCACCAAACCTGATACTCCTGTGGTATATGGATATGGACTTAATGGGACTGAAGAGGTGGCACCCCCATCTCCTCTTCTAGCTCCAATGCCAGATGCCGAATACCAGTCAACAGGTCAATATGATTCTATCAGTGATAGCACCACCACTTCTGAGCAAATCAGAGCACATAGAGGAACCATGAGTCCACCAGATGATCCCATAATGCCTCCAGACAGCTCTACACATGGAAACCTGCTTTAGACTGCACCCTGAAGCCTGCTGAGCACTGGGCGTTTACAGCAGAGAAACAGCAAGGGAGACTTCAAGATACTTTCCCGAACATCTCAAACATGATTTGAGAGATGTTGTTATTGCCCCAATATTCAGTCGTCTCCATGGTAACTCAGGGCTATGCTCAAGGACAACGTCTTGACTGCGCTACATGCCATCTTCCTGTCTGTCTCATTTCTATACTCATCTGCATCAGCAATCACCCAAAGTGTCTGATGAGAGCTACACAGAATTTAATGTACATGCTACAGACTGCCACTCGTTAGTTTTGTCACTGACAATGCTATCTGCAACAGGTATCCTGCCCCATGGAATCAAGAAGCATGAATCAAGAAGCAACTTCAGGTTTTCAATGGCCGTTTGCAAATGTTTTTGATTGCAACACTTCATGAATAGTTGATCACAGAGTAATCAAAAATGACAGCCTATTTCCTACTTTATGTTGATTTATATCAGAGACTAGTTGAATAATTTCCAATTGCTGTCACAGGTTGTAGCATGTAGCGTTTCTGAAGAACATGACTGGGAATGTTATTTTGCAAAAATGTGGTAAAAATTAGTGATGAGATCCCCTCTGTGAGGCCTTGTCACTTAAAGAAAATAAAGATGGTGCATGAAGGTGCCGAAAAGTCCACACATGCAAAGACACTAAGAACTGTGTGAGAATTATTCTCACAGTGATCTTGGTAAAGTCCATGGAGCTTTTGTTCTTCTATGCAGTGCGCACTTCATTAATCTCATTGCATTGATCTGCTTGCTATATGTCTTCATCTTTGACCATGGACCAAGACACCCATTACTCAAGCCTTTGAGATGAAAGGTCAAATTTGAGTGTTTATGTGAGCTGTATTTCCCATTCATTTGATCACAGATCATGATGTCTATGAATTTGTGAATTTTCTTGTGTTAATAGTGTTTTGTGCCAGCCTTAATGTATTCTTCAACATCTTTACTTTTCTTTCCCAATTCTCTACTACTGCACCAAGCTTTTTGGCACATTTTTGATACTCTTGACATGGCACTAATGTATTATTTGTTGTTGCTGTGATATATTTCCTTTTATTTACTTACTGAGTATTTCTGTGTAACAGAAGTTGTGTATGAACGCAGTCACTGATTTGTGTCTAAAAAAGCCGTCAGGCCCACACAGAGATTTTGCTGTCATTCACAAAGTTGTGCACGTCATGATTGCATATTCGTTTATAAAACATTTTGGCTAAATTGATAAGGGTTTCAGAGTTTAGTACTTTATAGTTTAACACGTTTTATGTTTCAGTACAGTAGATTTTCAGATATTTTCCCCTAAAATAAATACAGAAAACGAGGAAAGGTCTGCAGATTCCACTTGGGCCAGATTGTTTTATAACCTTAGAGTTCTTCTTTGTGACTGATTATTTCCCCTTCTTCATTAGCTCTTTCATTTTCTTGTTATAGATATTAATGGTGTGTTTGTACACAGCAATGATCTTAAGTCCAAATAAATGGCAAGTCCTGGACCTGCCAGAGACAGTGTGAGATTGGATGTTGAGCAGTCAGTAGTCATTACTTTAATACAGTCTCTGTTCGCCACATTTCACTATGTTTTCAATCCTCTTATAATACCACTAGTGTGGTTGAATGTTGCATTACCTGATTCTGCGAGAAGGGTCTGGCTGCAGCCTCGCACTTGCACACTCAGACACTTGCGCTTCCGCTAGCGACGTCACTTGCAGGCTTTATTTTTTATTTTGTTCTATTTTTTATTACTTTTTGTTTGAATCTCTCAACATTTTACAACAGTAGCCAGGTGGTGAAGACAAGAAAAAAGAAACTAAATTACAATGTCACTTGCAATCGCCACTTGCACTCTCCGCTACCTGCGACGTCACTTGCAATCGACACAAATCATGTGTGTTGCCAATGGAGACAAGACGCTGTGGTGGTGATTTAATGATTATTTATTTTATTTATTTATTTAGTC